TTTTTCCTCTAATTCTTTTCTCTCCTTCTCCTGTTCTGTCCTCCTTTTATCTTCTTCTCTGCTTTGCTTTTCATATTTTTCTCTTTCTTTGTCAAACTTCTCTTGAAGCCTCTTCAGTTCTTCTCTTCTCTCTTCATCCTCTCGGTGTCGTTTTTCCCACCACTCCTTCCTCTCCTTCTCCCAGGCGTCTCGTTTTTCTTCCATCTGTTTTCTCACGTCTTCCAGTTTTCTGTTGATGGTTCCCTTTTCTTCTGACTCCTTCTTAATCTTTTTCTCTAAAGCTTGTCGTTCTGTTTCCCACTTTTGTTGATGTTGTTCTTCCTCTGCTTTTCTCTTCTTTTCTTCTTTTTCTCTTATCTGCTGCTCTTTCTTTTTCTGCTCCCTCTCCTTCTTGATGTTTTCTTCCATCTCTTTAAGTTGTTTAACTCTCTGTTTTCTCTCTTTTTCCATTTCTGTTTTCTGTTCCTCCATTTTTCTTCTCATTGTTTCCTTTTCTTCCTCGTGTTTTCTTTCGAGTTCCTCCTTTAGTTTTTTAATCTCTTCCTCCTTCTCCTTGAGGATTCTCTTCACTTCTTTCTGGATGGCAGCTTCAGCTTCTTGCAGCATTTCACTCGTAAAGCAGCTTCCTCCGTTCTCCTTCACCATGGTGTTGATCTTTTGCATCAGCTCAACAACTTGTTTGCGGTTGTTTTTATTGTAATTGTTAAACACGTGGTATCTTTCTCCACAGTCATGAATTAATTTCTTAAATGATTCATCACATCCCTGTCTAATATACTCTTCAATCGTCTTCTCCTCATATTCCAGCCTGTCTCCTCCAGTGAAAAGAATGAGGGTGAAGTTTTCTGAGTTTTTACCAAAAACCTTCTTCATTTGTCTTAAAGTCCTTTTCTCTTCTTCGGTGAATCTGCCGATCTGTAACACGAGCAGGAAGACATGTGGACCTGGAGCCAGAAGACTGATGCATTTCATCAGCTCATCATCCACCTGCTCAGGGGACAGAGTGTTGTCAAACAGACCAGGAGTGTCCACCACAATGATGGGACGACCTCCAACGCTGGTTTGGGCTTTTTGGCAGTTTTTGGTGACTGACTGCTGCGACGCTTTAGCTTCAAACTGTTTTCTCCCCAGGATGGTGTTTCCTGAAGAGCTCTTTCCACCACCAGTTTTCCCCATCAGAACAATCCGGAGACACTCTGCTTCTAGGCTCGGCTCATTATCTGGATCATAGAAAATAGGAGGCAAAAAATTTTTTAAACATGATTACCATCGGAAATAATCATGACAGGGAACTGATGAAGAAACACAAGCTATGATTAAAACATTTATTCTGCTGTAACATGACTGATCAAATCTGTTTTATCATTGCTATGCAGAAATGTATGTTTTCCTCTGTAAACAGTAAAAAAGCAATAGATAACTAACTTCAAAACTATTCTGTTTTCAGATAGGTTAGACTATTATGTTGGCCTATTAGCTCTGTTTTTTTTTTCCCTGTTAAAATGTAAAACATTCAAGGTCATTAAAAATATATATTTT